GAACAAGTTTGAAAAGTTGCTTCCAGGAACTCCGTGTTGCAGAGCGTCAACTTTCCCTGTTGGAAATTCGTGCATCGTTGATGCAAGCCGGAAGACGGACGCCAGCGGGTACACACAAACGTCTCCTGAGGAGCAACACAGAGACGCCGAGTGCATGTGGGACCCACAGAAGTGAACTTACAGAGAGCGAGTTCACTGTTGTCTTTTGAACAAGTATAGAACCTCCACACCACACGCTTTGCAAGCGGCATCAGTCTGGTTTCAAGTTCTTTGCTGAGAAAGACGGCTGAGGTTCCGATCTTTATATGTTCACCCAGCAGTAATTGAAATCGTGCTGTAAACTGATTGGAAGATCGTGTTCCAGGTGGACACTCCTAGCGTGAGGCTCCAGATGGGCTGTGAGATGGGAGAGCTGTGACCCATTCAGTAACAGTCCTCACTTCCTTTTCCCCTCCATCTCCGCCCTTTCTCCCAGTCTCCCACCCTTTTCCCTTCTATAACCTCCCCCTTCTTTCTTCCCCCTTTCCCACCATCTCCACCTTTATTTTCCCTCTCCTTCCTTCATCTCTTCCCCCCTCCCCCTCGGGGGGGAGCCTCGTAGCCTGGTGGATAGCGCGCAGGACTCGTAATTCTGTGGCGCGGGTTCGATTCCCGCACGAGGCAGAAACAAATGGGCAAAAGTTTCTTTCACCCTGAATGCCCCTGTTACCTAGCAGTAAATAGGTACCTGGGAGTTAGTCAGCTGTCACGGGCTGCTTCCTGGGGGTGGAGGCCTGGTCGAGGACTGGGCCGCGGGGACACTAAAAAGCCCCGAAATCATCTCAAGATAACCTCAAGATAACCCCCTCTCTCTCTCTCTCTCTCTCTCTCTCTCTCTCTCTCTCTCTCTCTCTCTCTCTCTCTCTCTCTCTCTCTCTCTCTCTCTCTCTCTCTCTCTCTCTCTCTCTCTCTCTCTCTCTCTCTCTCCTCTCTCCTCCCCTCCTCCCATATATCTCTCTGAGAACATGCACTTTACACGTTCATCAAAACCACAATATAACCACAATCATATTTAAACTATTCTCACATAGAAACAATTCTTTATAAATGATGTATTCGTATCGAGTGCGTGAACTGCTGATAAACTATTGAAAACTCTCTTGTAAATTAAACCCTCATTTAAGAATTCGTAGGGGTCATGGCAGTCAACCCAGACGCCAATATAAAACTTTATGGAATCATCAAGTACTTGTAACGTTGAACATAACCGAACAAATACAGCGCGAGGTAACGTGTCCCCAAATGGGCACATGCCCACTTGGAGATTGTCAGCCCCAAAGATCTCAGTATATAGACAAGACAACAACGTCTCTCTAGGTAATTAACATTTCACAAGCGATAAGGCTCAATCAAGGATCATATAACTTCCTCACATAACCAGACCATCAACAGAGAAATCTTAACAAGCAACACAGAAATAATTGACAGAAACAACGACAACAGGAGACTCGACATCAGCGAGGCTCTACACATAAAAAAGTTAAAACCAGCAATCAACAGAAAATTTAAAACACAAATTTAAATTCTTTACATTTCAAGACCCCGAATCAACACAGAAACAGTTGAAGCAAGAACACAACATTGCCTTAATGCCCATATGCCATTCATCTACTTGTTCATTTCAATCATTTCCTGTATCACTTCACCCTAAGCGAATATAAGCCTTGGCATTGCATATAAAACTTTTCATAATAGGTTAGTCAAGCCCGTGCCACCTCTTGGGTGGCTTAATCTTCATCAATCAGTGTAAACCTGTCTTTGAAAATGTAAGGAGTGACATGCGAAACATTTTCCTAGGCGTCAGACCTTAAATAAAGTGTGAAAATGAACATTTTAACAGTTAATTTTTAAACTATTCTTGACAGTGAAGAAAAACATAAGATATATTGTGATTCGTGCTAGAATCATTAATCTTACCCTTTCGGTCATATTCAACAATATATATATATATATATAATATATATATATATATATTATATATATATATATATATATATATATATATATATATATATATATATATATATATATATATATATATATATATATATATATATATATATATATATATATCAGAAAACTCACACCTCAAAAGTGACTCGAACCCATAGTGTCAGAAGTACTCTGCAACTGATATACAGGATGGTAGCCCAAGCTAATTCCTCATCCTCTCGCCGGCACTCTGTTGGTAATCTTGGGCATGGCATTTTATCAAATCACCTCATTCTTTGGGGCACACGTGAGGAACACAAATGCGAACAAGCCTGAACGGTCTCCAGGCATATATGCAACTGAAAACTCACAGCATGGTGTTGGTCGAGTGGTTAAGGTGACCTATACGCCAGATGCAGAGTTTCAAATGTAGATATGATAGAGCTCATTAGGCTCAGGAATCTGTACACCAGTTGATTGACAGTTGAGAGGCGGAACTAAAGAAGCTCAACCCCCCACAAGCACAACTAGGTGATACACACACACACACACACACACACACACACACACACACACACACACACACACACACACACACACACACACACACACACACACACACACACACACACACACACACACACACACACACACACACACACACACACACACACACACCACACACACACACACACACACACACACACACACACACACACACACACACACTTACACACATATACACTCAACCACACACACAAACACTTGATAATAGAACCCAATGAGCCAAAGTCCAACCCCGGCTAGCACAATTAGGTGAGTACACATACACACACACACAGTTTGGACACATAGAGGTACAGTGAGAAAGTACGCATAGAACAGCAGGGAGAACACACAAAGCTACAAAACTCCCTCCACTGACCTACAATAACTTGGAGAACGAGAGAGGCGGGAGCTCCCCCTGAAGGAGAACAGGTGTAGTTCGCAGAGTCTGAGAGATGGGCGTCGTGCAGCAGGAGGTGGCTGACTCCGTCGGTCTCCGTCACCACCTGTATCCGGCCGCCGCTGGTGTCGTACTCCACCAACCGCTCTCCCTTGTACCACAGGATGAACCCTGCAGGAGAACAAGGGCAGGCTTGAATCAGGGCTGCATGCTGGTCTTGGTTGCTGTGAGAAAATGAGGTCAAGAACTCATGAAGAAAATGTTTTATTGTACATTTATTTCGTGGAATTCCGGTTTTTATTGAATTTATGGAATACCGGTATACATGGTATTTACGGAATACCGACATTCATGGTATTATGGAATTCCCGTATTCAAGGTGTACTGATGTTCGTGGATTACCGGTATTGTGGTGTACTGGTATTCATGGTGTATTGTATTCATGTGGTATACTTTCAGCTGAATTCAGTGGGGGGTTTACTATGTATACTTTGATTAGAATTATGGTTGTCAGACTTATCCGAAAAGGCTTATTGAAGAGCTCAGGGAACTAAGCTATGAAGGAAAACTGAGGGAACTGGCCTATCCATTCAGGAGGATGGGAAGAAGCAAGAAGACATGATTACAGCACACAAGATTTTCAGGAACAATTAACCAAGTAGACAGAAAAACAGTGTTTAAATTAAATAATGTAGAAAGAGGTATCAGATAGCGACTGGAAATACGAATGGACCACCGAGAAGCCTGAATTAATTTCTTCTGTTTATTGAGCGTAAATAAATAGAATAACCCCAGAGGAGACAGTTGTCGAGACCAATTCATTACTCCATATTATAAACACAATAAGAAAATCGAGTGAAAAAGATTCATGGCATTGAACTACCGATGCTTGACCTTGCAAGCATTACAGTGAGCACGTTGGCTAGTGCATACACACACCAGCCTCCGTCCATTCCCTCCCTCTCACCCACAATGAACCACGATAACCAATTGTCTTCTTTATATAACGGTATGAACAAGATAAAATGTCATCAGTCAGAGCATATACTGGGTCACTCCACCTTCCTGCACTGGTAGCCAGATTGCGAATCATCGCAACTTGGTATTTTTACGGCAGGCCGAGCCTGAAGTGGTTACGCTACGAAAATTGCTTAAACCGAAATAGAAACTATTACCGCCCCCATGAGTGAAGATGCGGACCTGGATGGATTGCAAACTCCGGAACGAGAAGAGTCTCAAAATGCCTACTTGTGGCTTGCGGTGTATGAGAGAGAGAGAGAGAGAGAGAGAGAGAGAGAGAGAGAGAGAGAGAGAGAGAGAGAGAGAGAGAGAGAGAGAGAGAGAGAGAGAGAGAGAGAGAGAGAGAGAGAGAGAGAGAGAGAGAGAGAGAGAGAGAGAGAGAGAGAGAGAGAGAGAGAGATGAGAGAGAGAGAGAGAGAGAGAGAGAGAGAGAGAGAGAGAGAGAGAGAGAGAGAGAGAGAGAGAGAGAGAGAGAGAGAGAGAGAGAGAGAGAGAGAGAGAGAGAAAGAGAGTGAGAGAGATGGACCAGAAAATCAAATAAACACTTTCTATATATCTCCTCCTTCTTTCTCTGAAAGTGACATGAACGACTAAGGTGGGAGCAAGTTTAATGAGAGAGCATCACGCTATGGAAAGAACTGAAAATTGGACAGCAAGGTTGGAAATATATTGGCCGAGGGGAATTTCACGTGAATGCTTAAATTAAATGTTTCTGCTTATATATTGCCGAATTTTGGGGTCTCTTAGTTAGGTTTATTAATACACACTGAAATTCGATCTTTGCTTTGCTGGAGACTGATGAACATCTACACCACCAAATGGGTCTCTCTCGTAAGACAAGTACCCCCAAATACCATCTTCTAAAGCCCACAAGCAATCCAGCTGGATTGTCCCCATTGTAGACCAAGCAGCTACAACATGCCAAGAAACTGCAACAACACCACATGACACTCCTCGACTTAGAACCATAGCAGCTCCCCATGCAGGTGACTTCTTATTGGCAACCCTAATTATCATCAACCATTACGCATCATACATGGTAAGCCCTCCGAATTGCCTAAGCTCTCCGCCTCACTGACACAATCCATATAGAAAATAGGTGTATATTCGTCGAGGCAGTGGCTGACAGGTACGGCAGGCATGGCCTGCTCGCCAGATCACAGGTGGATGGCACTCAAGACACAGTGAGGTCAATGGCAATATTGACCACAGCCTTACCACAGCTGAATGTTCAGCAAAGAGAGAACCCTTTACCTTATTCTCTGCAACTCTGACCGGCTTGTTGGTCGCCCAGACGGGATCGCAGTGAACCCCTGGAAGAATGGTAGACAGTTGGTGTGGGACTACATGTGCGTTTCAACCTTGGCCAACATCTACGTTGACCTCAGTGTTACCGGTATTGTTGTTTTCATTATTGTGAATACAATAATAATTTCAGTTCCCCGGTGGAAGAGTGTTATCCTAAGGTCACACAGTATACTGTCTGTCTAGCTAATGACGTTTATGTTCACAGAGGTGACTTGAGGAGGCGATTGCGCTGAGGAGGGCAGTGCAGAACTTCTGACTTGCTTTTGTGAGAGGAAAATGTGGCCGCCTTCGGTAGTTGCTGTGTGTTAGCTGGTGTATTTATGTAGTGTTGTATGGACCGACGTACCCGGAAATTAGCCAAGAGGAGTTACGTGACGACAGTTGTGTTCTGAGAAGAGCTGAGAAGTGCTGCTAGTGTGTTGTTAGAGACTTCTACCAGGGTGTTAGCTAACCCTGTACATGATTATTTGTGACCCCTGTAAGCGTGTTTGTGATGCCCTCTGCCAATGTGTTCCTGGAGAGCAGATATGGGGTATTGGGACATCGTGACAATTTTGGAACATCACTTGTTCCAAAATTGTATTAAATGTTCTTTCGGAGGGTTCTTTTTTGTGTTCAGTTTCGGCATTTCCTGATATTTAAGGTATTGTACAAATATCAATAACCACTATTTACTGAACTCTAATCAATTCCAGCAACTATGTAGTCACATACAAAATTATATTGCATCACAAGCAGATGCAGTCAAAGTGCAGTTTCATGAAGATTGTGTGTTCCTGGGGCATTGTGTGTTCCTGGGGCATTGTGTGTTCCTGGGGCATTATGTGTTCCTGGGGCATTGTGTGTTCCTGGGGCATTATGTGTTCCTGAGGCATTGTGTGTTCCTGGGGCATTGTGTGTTCCTGGGGCATTGTGTGTTCCTGGGGCATTATGTGTTCCTGGGGCATTGTGTGTTCCTGGGGCATTGTGTGTTACTGGGGCATTGTGTGTTCCTGGGGCATTATGTGTTCCTGGGGCATTGTGTGTTCCTGGGGCATTGTGTGTTCCTGGGGCATTGTGTGTTCCTGGGGCATTGTGTGTTCCTGGGGCATTGTGTGTTCCTGGGGCATTGTGTGTTCCTGGGGCATTGTGTGTTCCTGGGGCATTGTGTGTCCACCTGGGGGCATTGTGTGTCCCCTGGGACATTGTGTGTCCCTGGGGGCATTCTGTGTCCCCTGGGGCATTGTTTGTCCCTGGGGGCATTCTGTGTCCCCTGGGGCATTGAGTATCCCTGGGGCATTCTGTGTCCCCTTGGGCTTTGTGTGTCCTTGGGGCATCGCATGTCCCTAGTGCATGACACTGAAACATCACATGTCACAACGCATCGCGTGTCTTGTGTGCATTACCTGTCCATGGTACGTCCCATGTTCCTGGGGTCATCGCATGTTCCTTGTACATTGAACACTCCCTCGTTTGTAAATACATTCTGGAATTGATTATGTAATGCTTAATATATTTTCTTTCTTTCTTTCTCGAATATTTTACTTAAATGCATCTTCTATCCTCTTCCTTTCTTGTGTCAATATTTGCTTTTTTTAAAGCCCTCAGACAATTCCAGCTAATAATTTTTGGGAGATATTCGCTCTTGTTTCATGGAATATATTATATCACATTTCCTTAGTGTATATTTAACATTATTTCATAAGTGTTTCATTAAAATCCTTCGCTGGGTTTTATTATCTTTCTCAAAATCATAAAAATATTTTTTCTTAATCATTCTCTGAAGAGTTACCTTTTCTGTTACCTTTCCTTTCCCTTAGATAGATAGTTTCTTAAGGCCATAAAAATTCCACTTTCTTCATTACCTTTTTGTTTGAAAACCTTCAAAATCCATTGTGTTTAGTATCAGATTTGAATCTTCATCTCTCATCAACATCTGCTCTCTCCACCCCTGGCCTGTGCTTCAGCCTGACTGACACACCCTTGACTTCACCCAGGCAAGTTCATCATAGCTGAACTCTTCCCTGCTAGTTTACGGCTCCAGTTTACCCCTTGTTTATTTACTTTTCGTGAAGAGGGAATTGGAGGTAGTAAATCTTTAGAAGATGGAAGGGTGTATATAGAGTAGGAAAGACCGGAGGTGTAACTGGGGAAGGGGAGGCAGAGTATCTGGGTAAGATGGAATGGAAACGATGTATATCTGATGAAATGTGTATACGTGTATTGAGTTCAGATCATAGAATGTATTGTAACATGGATCACAACAAGATTTTACAAACATTGATACTTCCCAAGCTTTTTACGCTTTATAGTTGAATTCTTTACGTCTACTGGGATTCGACTCGCATTGTGTCTGGACTTGTACATACTTAGGTATTTCTTTAGCAGATTAAACCTGGTGAACTTCACCGATGTGCATTGAGACCTTGGTGTGTACTTACTGTTTTTGTGTATGTACTCACCTAGCGGCACTCACCTAGTGGCGCTTGCAAAGGGTTGAACTTTGGCTTTTTGGTCTTGCCTTTCAACCGTCAATCTACTGGTGTAAAGATTCCTGAGTTTCTCGAGCTCTATCATATCTAAATTTAAAAGTATGTATGGAGAATTTTGTATGTGGTGATCTTATGTCCCCGACCTCTTCTGTCTTCACGCGACGTGAGGTGCATTTCACGCAGCCTTTCCTAGTAACTCATTCCTCTAAGTTTTAGGACTAGCCTAGTGGCCTACCTCTGAACTTTTTCCAGTTTCGTCTTGAGCTTGAAAAAGTACGGGCTCTACGCTGGGGCCGCATACTCCAAGATTGGTCTTACATACGTGGTATACAAGGTTCTGAAAGATTCCTTAAACACGTTTCTGAAGACAGT